TGACTCAGGTGAGATTTTAACCCAGGACATGGACCAATGGGTTTGCAGACTTGTGAATATGTTCTGAAGGGACTTTGACGTGAGGTGGAGGGATTAAGAATGTTTTGGACTCTGGGGATTCCTCGCAACTCTTCTTAGGTGGCTTCGATGCTGTTATACGCAGTGACCTGCGGTTGTTCGATTCTAGAACGATGCTGGCCGGTGCTGGGGTGTTGCCCTGTGACCTGCTGATGCAGGAGCGTGAGGCCTGGTAGAGAGATCTGGGGATGCTTTGGGGTGGGTATTCCACGGGACAACTAAGGGTTGCTGCTGGAACGACGCTGGTCGGAGCTGGGGTGAGTTGTGTTGCCCTGTAACCCAGCAGGATGTGGGGGTGTGAGACCTCGAAGAGCTCGGCAGGGAGTAGGACAGTGTTGGAGTGCTTTGGAAGGGTTTGTTAGGGATTTCAAGGGTTTTCGAGCATTTGTAGGACCTATGCGGTTTATTTTCATGTTTTTCGTATTGCTCATACGTTTTCTCAAGAGACCGAGGTGAGTGGGAGAAGGAGAAGGTGGGATATTACGCGTCCTACTAGTAAGGGGGCTAGCTGGTAGGACAGGAATAAGGTACAGCAGCAGCAGAGATGGTGGCTCTGCTGCAGTAAGTCTTGCTGGAGTGGGGTATCGGGGATGGATTGGGGGCGCCTAAGTCTTTTTCTGAATGGTGAAAAAAAGAGGGGAGTGGGAGAAGTAGATGGTGGGATATCAAGCATCCTACTAGTGCGGGGGCTAGCTGGTAGGATGAAAATAGGGTACAACAGCAACGGAGATGGTGGCTCTGCTGCAGTAAGTCTTGCCGGAGTGAGGTAAAGAGGATTGATGGGGGGTTTCTGAGTTGTTTTCTGAATTTTGCCCATTTCTGAAGTTTGTCGTAGTAATTTCCTAAGTAGTTGCAATTTTTCATGGCCCTGGTATCTCAAACTTCCAAAATTTCGATGGAAATTTTCATATGGGACGTTGGGCCCAGTTCCCAGCACGTGCTGCTCCTCCAATTTACCCAGCACGTGCTGCTCCTCACAAATAGATTGGAGCCTTGTTCCCATTAAAAAAAAAAAAAAAAAAAAAAAAAAAAAAAAAAAAAAAAAAGTGAGGTGGAGGGAGTGTTTGCCTCATGTTTTGAACCTAGAGGGAGTGTTGGACTCAGGTGGGATTTGAACCCTGGACCTGGACCAAGTCGTCAGTAAGCGTCAGTTGCTCTCGCTTTGATGTTCTTCAAGTTTGGTGCAGACCCTGTATATCGAGAGTCGACGAAGGTCTCTAGCGACCCTTTGGAGGCTCACTAGAGGCGTTCATCGGCTATTTATAGGCCTGTAAAATCCTACAGGCCAAGGCAAATTCGACTCAATAACAGCGACAAGCTAGGAATGGAACCAATTCAGTTAAAAATTTAAAATTTCAATTCCTGAATTTGGTGGAGTGACAAGATGAAGGAGCAGCGCTATGTTTGGTAGCTGAAGGAGAAAGGGGGCGCAGCCATAACCAACGTGTTCTGGCTCTATACTTTACGGTTTTGAGTGCCAATTTTTGTAGGCTTCGCGGTGCAGCCAGATGCCCAAGTGGACGTATCTTTTTCCCGTTTTCATGGAGTACAAAACTCAGTTGTCTCGGTGTTTTTTATCCATGAAAACCAAGCCAAGTTCGATTCTCAGGGAAGTACTTATGCTAGATTCGTTGTCGACCCCAGGTGGGGTGTCTAAGAAAGACTCATGCACGAAGTCGTTGAAATATACGGAAATCCATACGGGGGAAAATTGCAGAGCATTCCAAAAACTTGAAAGCAGCTTCCCCAACCAGAAATCTACGTAGCACCGTGTTCGCGTTCGGAGGCGAACGCGAACAAGCGCCGAAAACCCTCCGAACGCGAACCAGCGCCGAAAACCCTCCGAACGCGAACATAAAAAATATTTTAAAAAAAACAAAACAAAAGTTTTCAGAAAAATCTGAAAAAAAACATATATTATGTAAAATAACAATACAAGCAACTTTTGCCTTGGAGTCATATTCAAATTTGTAGCCAATCACGAGTAAAAATAAAAAACCGAAAATATATATATATATATATCGTCAAATAGAACTGCCCGGTAAACCGTAGGCAGAGAGGGAGAAGAGGACAACAAACGAGGGGCTGTGACAAACTGTTTCGTCGGAGTTTCACCGACTCATTAGGAGGTATATATATATATATCGTCAATATATATATATATATACCGGGCAGTTCTATTTGACGATATATATATATCGTCAAATAGAACTGCCGACGGTAAACCGTAGGCAGAGAGGGAGAAGAGGACAACAAACGAGGGGCTGTGACAAACTGTTTCGTCAGAGTTTCACCGACTCATCAGGAGGCTGAACCCTCAACAGTCTGTAGAATCCCCTCATTGATTACACTGTAAGTGATAATCCACCTTAACCAAAAT